CTCTCTCTCTCTCTCTCTCTCTCTCTCTCTCTCTCTCTCTTCTCCCTGTCCTCCTCTTTTCCCATGACCCTTCTCCTGCCTCTCACTTCCTCTCTCGCCCCTCCCTCCTCCTCACCCGCATCAGTGGCTCTAGGCTTCGATCATCTGTTGGAAAGTTAGCAGCAAATTCTCCCTCCCACTCCCCCCCCGCCGCCTCCTCCTCTTCCGGGCCTTCTCCTCCTGCTCCTGCTCCTGCTCCTGCTCCTGCTCCTGCTCCTGCTCCTGCTCCTGCTCCTGCTCCTGCTCCTGCTCCTCCTCCTGCTCCTCCTGCTCCTCCTCCCCCTCCTCCCTTCCCCCATCTCCTCACCATCTTCCGTGATGCTTCTGCTGATCTTGTCGCTGGCCTGCAGCTAATGTGAGGGGAGAGGAACCAAGAAGCAGGTTGAGGAGGACGAAGACAAGGTATAGGAGAAGTAGCGGGAAGGAGGAGGACAGGAAGAGGAAAAGGGGAACGAGGACGAGGATGACAGGAGGAAGGAAACGAGAAGGAGGAGGAGGAAGAAGAAGAGGAGGGAGACCTCTGCGGCTCTCCTGGTTGTCCTGCTATGATGAGAAAATGCATGAGAGGGAGAGAGGAGAGAGAGGGGAGAGGAAAGGGGAGCGAGAGGGGGGAAGGGAGGGCGAGGAGGAGCAGGAGGAGCTGATGTTGGACCTCTCATAGGGTCGGCGAGACTTCTTTGCTGCGAGAGTGTGAGGGAGCGGACAGGAGAGAGGGGGCTCGAGGGCTCACAGGAGGGGAGGGGACGAGGAGGCTGGAGGAGACAGAGGATCGTGTCGAGCTTCTGCTCTATGACGTCCATGCGCCAGGACAAATCGCTCCTGCTCCTGCCTTCCTGCTAGACCTCGTCATCCCTTCAACCCATACCACCCGATTCCCCTCCTCCTCCTCCTCCTCCTCCTCCTCTCTTCCTCCTTGTCCTCATGTTATTCCCTCTGCTCCTGCAATCACCTACTCTTGTCCTCAATCCTCTTGTACATCCCCACTGCAACCCTCCTCCCTCCCTGCCTCCCTCCCTCCTTCCCTCCCTCCCTCCCTCCTT